CCAGATCCATCCTTGTGTGAGTGCACAGTGATCTCTGGATGTAGGTGAACTACAACTCTAAAACCAAAGGACACTGCCCACCAAACCCTTCCAGTATTTTCTGTTGGTAATGGGAGAACTCTGTGTCAGGTTTGGTTCAATTCCATCGTTGATGGGGTTCAGAATGTTCTTTGATTATAGGTAAACTATAAATTCCAGCAACCACAACTCCCAAATGACAAAATCAATTTTTTTGAGTGAAGGACATACATTGGGTTGTTAGGTGTCCAGTGCTTTTTGAGTTCTGTTAATCCCACAAATGAACATTACATTTTTATTTATATAGATTTATTTCCTATATTTATACCCTGCCCTTCTCCCCCCCAAAAGGGGACTCATGCTTACATATTCCAAAAACCACTTTCAAAAATAGAATGTTTTCCTCATTTTAATTGGAACTATTTTATCTTCAGAAATGCTAAAACCATGCTTTAAGTTCAGATTGTAACAATAAAAATATACCCTGCATATCAGATATTTACATTACAATTCATAACAGTAGCAAAATAGGACATGTGCAGTGTGCATAGGAATTTGGTCATCGTTTTTTTTAAAAAAAACTATAGTCCGGCCCTCCAACGGTCTGGGGGACAGTAATCCGCCCCCCCCCCCCTTGGACAATGATCATGGATTCTGGAAGCTGAAGTCCAAAACACCTGGAAGACCAGGGTCTGAAAAGCGCTGATTTACTGTAGCTTACGGTGCCAGAGTAAAAAATAGAGATAGCTGTGTATAAGCAAGAATTTCAGCAGGTGTTTTTTTTTATACAGGTAACAACAGTGGCTGAAAGTCCTGCTCATGCTCGGCCATCTAAACAACTATTCAGACACAGCAGCTATTTCCAGCTTTCACGCTGGCAATGCTAAAGAACTCCATAGCCAGATAGAACAGAAATTGAATCCTTCTTCTTCATCCTATCTAGCTCAGAACTCTGCAGCCAAAGACTTGGCTGAGGATAAGTGAGTTACTGGGCACCATTGAGACTTACTAGAGGCATTTCTATTCTGCTGTATCTGCTTATGTTTAAGCCAGTTTTTGTATATTCTGCTAGGAAGCTACATCCTTGTATTCTTTTATTTCATCCATGCTTCTACAGTTTTGAACACAGGTCTCACAAAATGATTTATCTATGAGGAAAGTAAGGTTGCTCTGCTTTAAGGAAATGAATAATTTTAATGTTTTTCTCAGTGTAACCAAAATGAATTATTTAATATTGTAACCTTGATGGTTAGCAATCCTAATATGCTTAGAGAGAATATTTGTTTTTTGTGATTCCCTATATTGTTTCTGAAGGGGAAAATGGTTTGTCTGGAACAAGGCAGAGCTGGGGATAGGGTTTTGAGATGTGTTAGGTACTTCTGCCTGTTTTTTGTTGTCATAATTTGAGTACTAGGGCCAAGGCTTTCCTATTTCAGGATCAAAGCAGCTGGAAGCTACATAATTTAGTTCCTAGAGTTCTGAGTGAGATCTGTAATAGATAAAGCCATGTCTTAAATAAGGAGTTTGACATGGAGAAGGCCTGTGGATTCTTTAAGTGTCTGGGGAATATGAGTAATATTTGTGAGGGGAAAATACCATGGATATGCGAATTCTCCAGGAGATTTAAAGATCTTGTCTGACAGCTTGAGTGCTTACAAATATAAAACCAATTAGGCTACAATAAAACATTGATTTCATTTTTTTTTGAATGGATTCTAGGGGAAAGGAGCTATCTTTAGATAAAAGTAAAGGTTTCCTCTTGACATTAAGTCTAGTCGTGTCTGACTCTAGGGGGTGGTGCTTATCTCCATTTCTAAACTGAAGAGCTGGCATTGTCCGTAGACACCTTCAAGGTCATGTGGCCAGCATGACTGCATGGAGCGCCTTTACCTTCCCACCAGAGTGGTACCTATTGATCTACTCACATTTGCATGTTTTCAAACTACTAGGTTGGCAGAATCTTGGGCTAACAGCGGGAGCTCACCCTGCTGCCTGGATTCGAGTTTCCTTTTGCAGAACTCAGATTGAAAAAGCTGTACCTTCCTTATTTTTTCTCGTTATGCATACATCATAATGACAATGGACAACCACATCCATTATTGGAACTTCTAGTCGTATTGGCTGAGCCATCTGTGTAAATATAGCCCTTCATTAAAACTGTGTTACTGGCACAAGCTTTGCAGGAAACAACACAGTTTCTTTTGGGATTAATATGTGATGTTTGGAATAAGCATGCTCCAAGAGAACATCTTTCTTTTTCTTGCTAATTTAAAAATGAAACAAAAAACTGGCCACATTAGTAACATCTCTTTAGAATGAGAAAACACAGAAAGTGTACTGCCAGATAACCCTGGAAAGGGAAATATCATCATTTCAGGCCAGTGGAGATTTTTTTTCTTGTAATCAAATGGCTTGCCTCCTGCTCTGGATGTCTTGGCTTTTCAGCTTGAAAATTATGTGTTTCTTTGTCTATAACCTTTGTTGTCTTGACTATGTAGGTGGATTTATAACTGCATGGTTGCTATCACATGGGAAGAGGGAGCATGTATTGCGTTCACTCCTCAAAGCACCATAGCAACCAAAAAAATTGTCCTCCTTCAGAGTCTTAAGCAACAGCTGAGCAGCCGCAGGTCTGCCAAGGAATGACTCATTCACCTTGGCAAAGTGCAGACCTGCTCCTGGTTTTGGACTGGCAGGAAATCTGTATTTCATTGGGCTTCCTTTCAAAAAAAGGCAAAGTGCTGATTTATTTGTCCACTTTGTGTATGAGAGTGAATGAAGAGAAAGCTGCAGGGCCAAACAGGCAAGCCAATACATGATACTTATGTCTTCATAGAATACAGCCACTCATTATTAAAGCGACAAGAAATGATAAACCATGGCTGAAAATCCTACATGTGTGTTAGTATTATTTCATCAAATGCATCGGCACATTTTGAAACTGGGTAGCATTAAAATGTATATTGAAGAGGCAGCCTTTTTGAAAATTATATTTGGGGGTATAGTTGCTAAAACTGTATGTGTGTATGGTGAAGGAACCCTGCTGCTTTCGTTGTAAAACAGCAATAGCAGGATATAGATTATCCAATAGTTCCCATAGGAAGCTTTTTCCTATAATGTTTTTCCTGCTGTAGCGCAATGTCAAGATTACTGCAGAAGGTGGCAGATGTTAAGAGCAATAACAAGTCTCTGAAGAAATCATGGGGAGATAGGAGGTTTTTATCCCTTCGCATCAAATCTGGGATCCCCCAAGCTTTGACACAAAACCCAGCAGAGGGGGATTTTTTTTGTCGTAATCTACAGCCCTTAGGACATGCTTCCAGGAGACCATAGGATTTAATCTCTTTAAACTGTTTTACTTTATGAAAATAAGTTATCAGTCTAGGTAAAGGTTTTCTCCTGACATTGTCTAGTTATGTCCGACTCTGGTTGTTCGTACTCATCTCCATTTCTAAGCCGAAGAGCCAGCATTGTCTGTAGGCACCTCATGGACCGCTGATACCTTCCCACCAGAGCGGTACCTGTTGATCTCACATTTGCATGCTTTAGAACTGCTAGGTTGGCAGAAGCTGGGGCTAACAGTGGGAGCTCACACTGCTCCCCGGATTCCAAGCTGTGACCTTTCGGTCAGCAAGTTCAGTAGCACAGCGCTTTACCCACTGCACTACCGCAGGCTCATTATCAGTCAACTCCTAAGATTTTATGGAGACTCTCCCCTTATATACTGACCACCTCATTTGCCATCAGTTGAACAAAGTTTCCAGCTTATTAAATTGTTATGCCCATTCTCAGTTGCTGTCAGATGAAACTTCCTTGAGAAACATATGTATGTTGCCTCTTCCCTTTAAATATCAGAATTCACGTTTTGGTGCACCATGTCTCTTCACTCTTGATTTCCAACTGCAGTTAAGCTTTTAAGTACATGACCTACATACCCTAAAATTACGAGAGCCCATCTGATCTTGTAGGCTGAGCAGAATTAGCCCTGGTTAGTACTTAGATGGGAGACTGCTAAAGATTACCATGTTCTGTAGGTATATTTCAAAGGAAAGAACTAGTAAAACAATCTCTACCACTTCATCACACTAGAGAAAAAAATCCACTTCAAAACTGGTTTCTGCCTCCTGCATAATTCTGGGATTTGTAGTTTAGTGAGGCTGTTAAAGGCTCCTTCCTAAACTACAAACCCCAGAATTCTTCAGGAATATTAAGTGGATTTTTTCTCTTGTGTGATAAGGACCACTTTTCTAGCCTAAAAATACCCTACAAAATTCATAGGGTCACCATAAGTTGACAAGCGACTTGGACGCACATATACATGCACATCCCTTTATAGTAATATTTGGTTTTATGTTCTGCAATGTCTGTCTTATTATTTAGTGAGAGGATACAGTTCTCAGGTTGGGGGCCCACAATTAAAGAAATGACATGCTTATTTTACAGAGCTTACTACATATTATCACCCCAAGAAATCAGGTACCGTCCATCAGGGTCTTCCTGGGACTAGATGCTTGTCCTGATTTGCTTGGTGATCACTTTAGTTTCCAGGCTTTGCTTCCTTACTTAATTTCTAAGCCTCAAGAGCTCTGGTCTTTAAACTTTTTGATTGAGGAAGAACTTTAGCTCACACCACTATTTCTAGCAATAGCTTGGTTAGGTCAAATGAATAAAAACTGCCTCTAGTGTCCTATTCTACTAGTTATTTTCAAACCCAGTTAGCACCACAGCGGGAAGGAAATCACACTTTGTGTTCTGACCAGGGAGAGCAATTTGTGGAGATCATTCTGAGTCCTCTTTCTCTTTTTTTTAAAGAGGAAAATTTGTAATGGAGCAAAGGCTGTTGGATATTTTGCCATCTCTAAGCTCCCAAATTGCAGGAAATCATTTTGTATTGATCTGGGGATGCCTAGAAGATAACAGAAGTAGTATCAAAGACAAAATACCTTCTAATCGAATCTTGTTATTTTGTTAATCTTTTACAGGTTCTTTCCGAAATGATGGCTTAAAAGCTGCAGATGTCCTTCCCATACTAAAGGAAAAAGTTGCCTTTGTCTCAGGTTGGTATACGTCTCCTTTCTTTTCAGTACTGTGGCAGTTCATTGCATTTGCGAAAATGAGAGAAACATAAAAGTATTGCAATATAAACATAGTTTTAAAGTTCCATGCGTCTGTAAAATATTACACATCAGATTCCCGTCTCCTGAGTCTTAAGTAGTCTTCTAACCATGCAGGTGTCAGTCTAATTTGGTTCCGTGGAAACTGTTTCAGCCCAGATTTCCCCTTATGCACAGCTGTTAAAGATGTAGAGGACTTTTATGAAATGTACAGAAGGTATTTGCAGATGTTACGTTACTGAACTTTGCAAATAGCAGTGACAAAAGACATGAGCAAGGCTCTAAGAGAAACATGACAGAATAACCATGTGGCTGTTTCGTGCACATTAGGGAATAAGCTCCATGGAACACTCCCTCCAGTGTTGCCTACCTGTGTTCTTTACATACCAATAGGCAAGGTTTGGGGTGGTATGGTAGCACCAGTGATCTATTGTGATTCTCTTTCCTTGACCTGCCAACCATCCCACAATCTATCTGTTTTCCCTGTGGGTATTTAAAGTAGAGTACTGTTTCTTTTTCTGAATTAGTCAGTGTGGTCCGAGGGGTGGTATAGGTATCTCTGGGCTTCTTTTTATTGCGAGATTGCAACAACTCTGATTCTGATTAGGAGTGAATCAGTGCTTCAGTAGAAGCACCCGGTGGCACAATGGCTTAAACCCTTGTGCCGACAGGACTGAAGACCGACAGGTCAGAGGTTCGAATCTGGGGAGAGCACAAATGAGCCCCCTCTGTCAGCTCTAGCTCCCCGTGCAGGGACATGAGAGAAGCCCCCCACAAGGATGGTAAAACATCAAAACATCTGGGTGTCCCCTGGACAACGTCCTTGCAGATGGCCAATTCTCTCACACCAGAAGCAACTTGTAGTTTCCTGATCAAAAAAAAAATAGGGCTCAGAAACTCTACAGTGTGGTTGCGTGACAGATCGGTTAAAAGAATCATTCAAAATATGCTGATGGGTGTTAATGGTTTCCTGATGTGTTTTGTGTGTGTGTGGATTTTTCCTGGCACCACAGCAGATGGTTGTATCAAAGTAATAGTGAATCTCTAACTGTGTGGTGGGTAGTATTATTCCTGAGTGCCCTGCTTTGCTGAGTAGAGCCAAATGAACTTGCTAATTTTCATGGAAATGGGCCATCACTAGACATAAGATTTGCAAGAAATCCGGATCAAGACTATCCAAACATGAATTAGAACCCATTTGAAGACCTAGTCCTTGTCAGTGAGGTTAATGATGAAAATATTCTTTTCAGACTCCATTGCACTTGCAGTGGAATTTTTCTGGGAGGTCAAAGGCTTATTCTGACCCAGGAGAAAGAAACATAGGTCACTTGGTAGCTCATTATGACCAGTCTGTGTAAACTTGGGATACTTCATTTTATGGTGATTCAGTTTCTTCTTCAAGAGTAGATTTACAAAATGGCACCAAGGTGCTCTAGTTTGATGACATGGTCCATTACCCCTTGGTGTACCTCGGGTTTCTATTATATTCCCCATGTTATGCAACATGAATGAAACTACTGGAAAAGATTGCCTGGAGCTGAGGATTTAGTGTCACCATGACTTGAATCCATTCCCATCATGAGATGCTAATTTAAAATGTAAACGGCTTTCCCAGAATTCAGGCAGAGGTGATGTGGAATGTTGTCAGCATACCATTGACACTAAGTCCCAAAACTCCAATTAACCTTTTCTAAAAGTTTCATCCATTTTTTTGTGGACAAGATGGAACTCTGAAGATAAGGCAGAGATGTTCTTACCAGCTGTTAGAAATTGTGGAAGTTGAAGTCCAAAAACACCTGGAGGGCCGAAGTTTGCCTATGCCTGGTGTAGATGCATCCCAGAAACTTGAATGCCTACTTTTTAAGGGTGCGCAGAAGAGGATCTTCAAGCAGTCTCCGAATTACAAATATCCAGCTTACAAATGACTCATAGTTAAGAATGCGGGTGAGACAACAGGAGGTGAGAGAAATCTGCCCCTCAGAAAGGAAATTCACTCCTGAAAGAGCTATCATGGGGAAAAGGTGTCTCCACTAAAGCTTTATCACCAATCCTTGTTTTTACTACAAGCCAGTTTTTTTTTTCAAAATCCAATTATCATAGGGAGAGAAAGCCAACTGAAATCTTCTGAACGGGGGCACAGATAGCAAAACACACACCACAGGGGTGTTAACCTTTCCCAATGCTATCCAAAGCTGATGTCTGTCTGTCTGTCTTTCTCTGTCTCTCTCTCTGTCTCTCTTTCTCTCTCTCTCTATGGCTGGGGTTACATTTTAAAATGTACTTGTTTTTTTAGTTGTTTTAATGTGTTTTTAATTTATTTGTGTGTGTGTGTGTGTAATTGTAATCTTAGTTTTATTTTTGTTAGCTATTTTAAGTATTTGACAGACAAAATATCAATTTGATAAATAATTAATGGAATTTATTTCCATATCAATCTGTTTTTGAGAGTCACAAAAATGATTCACTAGTCAAAAGCCCATATCCTGCTCCCATCTTTAAAAATTATTTTGAATAATGTATTTTGAATCACACAGTGGTTGGATTTTGAAAAGCTTTCAAATATACTAATCGAGGTAGCTAATACACAATAATCTTATAGTTCACCTAAGAATATCCACTGGATTGTATAGTTTATAATATGGGTCAGAAATGGCAAAGTTGTAGCATGCTGCAAGCTGGATTTGACTACCACACTCAAGCAATTTCAAGTTTAACGTTAAAGCTTTCTTTGTAATTTGCATATTTGTATTTAATGCTAAGTCTGGACCATCATCAAGGCCACACTTCATATAATTCCTCCAATTGCATTTTCTAAGTATTCTCTTGCAACATGCTGATCTTGCAACATGAGCAAAAAAGCCAATTGGATGAGTAGGCCTTTGACCATGATAAACATTCAAAACATTGCTCCTTGGTAGCTGGATAGATATCGGAAAGGAGATGTCATTCTGTCCTGGTGTGTCATGAGTCACATACTCTTTAAGTTTCAGCCTGACCTGATGTTGTTTAGGTTGCAGATAGGGTGAAAAAAATAACTGTCCTCAGTCCGTAAATTCCTCTTCAGTTTCTTTTAAAGAGGTATCAGACAAGTGCACTCTGGACAGCTCTTGTCTGATTGTCTCACTGCTTTGTCCCTGCATGAAAAGGCAATCATTTCTGACCCAGCCAGCTCAATAGCAGCCTTGCCACCTACACGGCCCCTGTCAACCATCTGCTGATATAATAGATAGAGGCAAGGCTTGCTGGTGGCTTTTTAAGATGGAATGTGTGAATCTTTGCAGTCTGTTATAACAACCTAAGGAGCACTATCCTTTAATCTGGAATCCAAGTGCTATCTTGAGTGCTCAGACCTGCAAGTCTGTAGAAGAGATTTCACAGAATGTCTTCACTGTCTGACTGGGAATTTGGAAGAAATATTCTATGGAGCAAAAATTAGTTTTCGTCACCAAAATACTGCCTTCTTCATCGTAGCTTATTTCTCCCTTCTTTCCTGTTATACCTCTGGCTAGTGGTCCTCTTCAATGTACCCATTCCTTTGCTGCTCCCTCTTTTGAGTCATTGTGGCTATACGCCTTCAAGTCAATTCCGACTCTTATCACAGGGATTTATTGACATGATTTGGGTAGCAGGGGTTTGTCATTGCCATCCTCTAAGGCTGACCAAGTGTGACTTGTTCAAGATCACCCAGCAGGTTTCTACGCCTGACCAGATATTTGAACCATGGTCACTTGGAGTCCTAGGGCCCTTCCACACAGCCCTATATCCCAGAATATGAAGGCAGGAAATCCCACAATATCTTATTTGAACTGAGTTATCTGAAACCACACTCAGATAATGTGGGATTTTCTGCCTTGATATTCTGGTATATAGGGCTGTGTGGAAGGGCCCCCAGACTGTCATGTGCCAGGACTCATCCGGTATCAAGGGCTACGGTTTATTCAAAGAAACACAAAATAAGCCAAGCCCATATTATTTACTTACAAATAAAATGAATGCCATTAATCTTTCAAAGGTCTGGCCAACAAAGCAGAACTGCAGCACACAGCTGGAGTAATGATGAGCACAAGCCAAGGACAAAAGTCCAGTTAATGCAGACAAGCTGAATACTATTTAGCCAGTTCAGCAGCAAGAATGAACAATAGCCAAAGTTACAGTCCAGTAGTTAGATGGCAGAAGTTCACTTATCAAGAGGTCTTACTCATAGAATAATGTTTACGACTTCAAGAGTACAAACCTAAGTCAGAGTTCCAGAGTCAAGTCAGATACTCAGACTGAAGTCCAAGTTCATAAATCACAGCCAGGAAATTAGTCCAGAATTCAGGGTCAATGATTCAGGATTCAACAGGATCAAGAATTCTTACTCAGGGGAAGCAGAGCCAAGATCAGGATAAAAGTACCAAGGTACAATATTATCTGCTAAGGAAGCTCTATCTCTTCCAGACCTCTTTTTGTCATGAGATCTCAGCTGCTACTCATTTCAGAAAGCCTACATAGATAATCTCAAAAGCCTCCAGGCAGTGGTTCTCAATCTGTGGGTCCCCAGATGTTTTGGCCTACAACTCTCAGAAGTCCAGGCCAGTTTACCAGCTGTTATGATTTCTGGGAGTTGAAGGCCAAAACAACTGGTTGAGAACCACTGCTTTAAGAGGAAGTCTTAATAATGCTTTCCGAAAGGGGAAGGTCATATTAGCCCCTTCCGAGCTTGCAGCAATACTGAGACGATTCCTTCTTTGCTGGAGACCTGCTCCCAGCAGCAGCTGAGCTAGGCCAGACAAACTGCTGGCCATGACATAGACCAGCATTCAAACTACAGCACTACACTAGATTTCACTTATGTTAGGACATCTTGATGTAACATCCTCATCTTTGCAGGACATCTAAATGATGTGAGGATTTATTTCCCTTAAAATCTATAAATACAATTCACTTTCCACAAACCCCTTTCTTTAACCTTTTCTCCAAGATTGTGGAGCTTCAGGCTCTAGGGCCAAATCTTGGCCTCATGGGGTGTAGATCTTGCCCTCCTGTCTATAACTGGAAATGTTCCACAAAATGAAGAGGAATCCTTGATGTTACTCTGTGAAGGGCAACTTCTCTGCACTTTCCAAGCATATTTGATCATATCTCATTTCATAAGCAAATTATATACATATGAATATCAATTTTCACAGGGTTTAGGGGAGCAGGATTCTCATGTAAATGGAAAAATCAGAATATAAATAAGAATTGTGAACACTTTTTTAAAGTCTGAAAGAACTCTTCTCAAGGCCTTTCTTGGCCTTCCAGTGAAAGTGTACAATCAACTTGCACTAGATGCTGGCCAAAGAATTGTGTTGGAAGACCAAAAAATGCCTAGAGAAGATTGCTGATATAATACTGAGCTGTGGGAGCAAGGGAATTTGTTTAAGAGAAGAGGCAAATTAAACATTGAGCTGTAATAATTCTAAAAGTGTAATTAACCACTGGAATCTTCTGCACTTGTAGAATCTCTCCAACAAGTGACTAGCCTTTTAGGCTTGCTTCTTCCTTCATTTGGGTAATGGAATGGTCCACTGACAAATTAGTTCACTGTGGATTCATTGGCACTATTTTCCTTTGCATATGTTTTAGCCATAACTATAATAGCAGAGTACTTAACTTTCATTTCTCCTTGTATAATTTCCAGATGTCCTCAAAGGCATGCACCTGTTTTCAGGCTGAAACAAACCTTAAAGGCTTTCCTTTAACTAGCTTGGTCAGGGTTAATATCTTAGGTAAATTCAATCGAACATGTACATTTTGAGACAAAAATACACACACAAGCACAAACACAACTAATTTGAAAAAGTATGGAAATATAGCGACTCAGATTCAGGAATTAACGCATTAAGTCTCACTGGATAGAGCAGTGGTTCTCAAACTGTGCTCCTCCAGATCTTTTGGACTTCAGCTTCCACAATTCCCCACAGCAGGTAAGATGGCTAGGTTTTCTGTGATCTGAAGTCTAAAACTCCTGGAGGAGCACAGTTTGAGAAACACTGGGGTAGAGAGTCACATACCCATCTATCCCTAACTGTGAGTGTGGCCTGCTCTGTTTGATTTTATGCATTACCTGGAAATGCCTTTGATACTGAACTTCTAAAAAAAATCAATATTTTTCAAGCAATGTTTCACTTGAATGTACCTTTAATGGGTTTTAAACATTTGTTCTTTTAATTTATGCTGCAAACTGCTTACAACCCATTTGGGAGAAAAGAGAGATACTAAATAGATTCACATCTTTTGGTGACCAGAGTACAGAGGCAAGAAAAATAACTAACCAACTTATGTATGGCATACCTCTTGCTTGTAAAGAAAACATACCACCTTTGGGCTTATAATTGTGGAATACAGGCTTGTTTAATGCAAAATCAATAGCAAAAAGATCATTTAAGAAAATATATTGAAAATAAACCATTTGTTTTGCCAGTGAATAAATGTAGCTGAAAAACAAAAAGACATATTCTGTCCCTTTAATTCTCTTTGTAGGAACCGTTCATAAATATCTGTTACTTCTATGGGATAATAGTAGTTATTTTATATTCAGGTATCTTGAATTTTGAATGCTCAAACCAAATTGTGCGGTAAGATGCTATCTTAAAATTAGCCAGACCACTTCTCACCTCCTGGAATGCTGTGTCCAGGATCAAAATATTAGTCAAGAGAAATTCTCTTACTGTGAGCATCTTCAATTTTTGTCCGAAGCATTCAGATTTGAGGACTCAGTTGAGATACTCTGGAAATCAGGAGACAGGGCCTATATGTTTTAACTTGTATTAGGCCAAATATAAATACCAGAAACCTAACCTTGCTCTGTTCTTGGCTAACAGGATAGTAGTTCCTGCTTGTTGTTCCTTTCTTAAGTCCCCCATCCAGGCTTTGAGATTCAGATTTCTTTTCCTCTTTTCCAACTTCCCTTCCTCTTTCTAGCTCTGATCCTCATTCTTGGTTGATTAAGGGCCTTTCCCCAGCATTCAATTCATGGGCAATCAAGATTGACCAGGACTGTAATGCCCTGCAGTGCCTCGTATTTGGTGGGACCATGGTTGCATCTACATTGTAGAATTGATGTGGTTTGAAACCACTTTAACTGCCAGCATACAACTCCTATGATTCCATAGCAGTGAGCCATAGCAGTTAAAGTGGAGTCAAACTGCGTTAAATCTACAGTGTAGAGTCAACCATTACATACACTCATGTATGAAGAATTTATTTCTCGTGAATTGTCTGTACATGTGAACTGCTGATTGATATGTTAAAACTGTGAAACAACCACGTTTCTAATGTATAAGTGTATTGGACGTATAGGGATAACTCTGCTAAAATAAACTGTAAACTGGAAGATTAAAGACAGCATTCCTTGCAGCTCTCTCTTAGCTGTGAGAAGCAACAGCCACAAATGTAGTCAAATCAAGGCCCATCTTCCATTACAAGATTTTGTGTTAAGGTTTCCATGGAAATTGGCATAGTACAGGTTGATTCACTCCTCATTAACAAGGTACAAACTGTTTGGGATTAAGCATTAATTGCCTCAGAGCAATCCTGCTCACCTGGGGTGGTGAGATCTGTTGTTCAGGTCAAATTACAAGCGAGAATATTGAACCTCCAATTCAAGTATAAAGTTAATGACTGCTCATTATAGAAATGTTCGTAACTGTGCTTGTGCACAGTGAGATTTCTAGACATGTGAATTCTCACAAAACAACAAAAATACACCATGTGTTCTGTGCAGAATTACATTTTTTCTATGCCTACTAAATGCTATTAGAATATTATTTTATAATGGAGCTGGGGATAGTTTTGTTTTCCATAGGGATGCAATGAATAGTCATAACATTTCTCATTCATGGTGCAATAAGATGCTTTGTCACATTAAAGCACCATGTTGAGTAACTGACCATTCCTAAGATATTTCCTTATGAGCCTGCCAATGTTTTGGGAGACGATGATCTCTTTCTCACCATCTTGACAAGTACATTTGGAGGAATATGGGAAAGGGTCTCTGCTGTAGCTTCTTTATTGTCTTTTCACAAGCAGGTAAGACCATTTTTTATTTTGATAAAGGATTGCTAGACATTTAACTGTGGTATTTTAATTACCTTAAATCCTATACCAGAAATCACATTGAATCCCATACTGGGAAAAAGGTGGAATAACAACAACAGCAGCAGCAACAACAACAATATCAACCTGTTGTGTGAGAATGAGACAATGGGTCCCTTCTTTTATCTGTGCAAAACACTTCCTTCATCCCCCCAACTTTGTGAATCGAAACATCCACACTTACAATCTCCGTAGGACAGGTTTATTGTTGAAAAATGCTGACAACTTGTCCTGTTACTGCATGTATTTTTGCAATATTAGATGAGTACTGAGGCCAAGAGACAGAGCTGCCCAAACAAAACCATGACTCAGTGATAGAGGACTCCATAGCACAACCAGTCATAAAAAATTGGCCAGGTTTCTATGACAGAATTCTGTTGAGCACCAAAGCAACAGCTTTAGATCTATTTCACTATAGGACACCAAGGATGATATGAGCAGTGAAGAACACTTTTAATTTCAATTACCTGAACAACCAGCCAGAACAGACAAAGAGGGAAAAGCTCTCTTTTCTTTTGTCTTTGCATTCTCTTTCCTTTCCCTTTTACCTTCACCAGGGTGGGGAAAGAGCAATTTTGATATCCTCAGAGCCATTCTTCTCAATGAGTTTTCTAAGTATGTGCTTCTGAAAATACGTATAGGGTTGCATAGTGTTTTGGTACTACTGAAAATGTCTTTTTACCTGTACTGTACATTTCATGGAATCTGTAGATTGTGTGATGATTACAGATGAAGGCAAGCTGCCTGTGTGCATCCTTCAACTGTGAACACTACCTCAACAGATTTGTGGAACTTAATTATTAGTAGGTCAATTCCCACCAGAGAAGCTGTTCTACTTGCAATAGGAAACATATCCCGCTTAAGTACCATAAAGGGAGAGGAAGCCTTTATCGGGAAGCTCCATTTCAGTTGTTTATTTTTTTTCAGTTTGACTCACATAACGTAATGTGCTTCCTATTTTTTTTCCTAATAATCTTTTAAAAACTTTTCTGCAGGTGGCCGTGATAAACGAGGCGGTCCCATCTTGACATTTCCAGCACGCAGCAATCATGACAGAATAAGGCAGGAAGACCTTCGGAAACTTGTGACTTACTTGGCTAGTGTACCGAGGTAAAAGTTCAAAAGAACAACATTGGTGGAGAGAATATATTGTTTGTTGGCAAGCTGCTCATTTTCCTATATTGGCCTTTGGTACTGTTTTTGCTCATACTAGCACCTCTCCCTTTCACTTATCCTCCAATTATATCTTAACCAGTCAGTCAAATGGAATAGGGACATATAGACACACATACGCAACCACATAAAAGAAGAAATCCCAAAGATACCCCCTTTAAGAGAATGGGAAAATATATTAGATATGCTGATAATGGATAAAATAACTCTATTATTAAGAGGAGAACTATTAGATAATGTTGTTAATGAATGGCAACCAATGATTCAACATCTCAATGTAAAATTAAGCTAAAATGTATATAGAGGATCGTATAAGATGTAGACAAGGAGGAAGTGGATGTTAAACAAGAGTCTATGATGCTTTTATATGTATTATATAAATAGTAGACTGTGCCCCCTTAAAGGATATATATTATCTGAGAAATGATTATGGAACACTAATAGATGGAAAGTATTGCACTGTATGCGAAAAGCACTTGCAAATGTATGTCTGTTTGAATAAATAAATAAATAATGTAAAGAGAAAGGAGAACATGGTTGGGTATGGTTAGGGGTTTAGCTTTCTTTTTGTGGCATACACAAATGAGCTGCTGCTTATTTTATTCTACATTTGCAGATTAGAAAAAGAGAATGGGGTGAGGTTTTTAAAATGCATTTTCACTAATTGGACTGTGGAATCTGGATTGGCTAGGACAAATAAAAATTGCAGAGTTGCTTGTCTTCATTATGCCCTGCATTTAGCAATGATAAAAAGTGGCTTAATCTAGACTAATGTCAGCCTATTTACTTGGAAATAAGCTCTGAGTTGTGTTTTTTTGTTGGATTTTTGTTTCTTCCAAATATTTCTTTTTTTTTTTCTCCCTTCAAAATGTAATTCCAGCATCATGCTGATGATACAGTGCATGGTGGCTGGAGTGGGAAAGGGAGAGTGCTGATTCCTGATTCCCCTATAATTCATCACATTGCTCCGTTCATTCTTTTCATTTGTGGGTTTGATCTACCAAGTAATTTACTCTTCCTATCATCTGGTTTAACATTCGATCTGTTGAAATGGGTACTTATCCTGTAATAATCACTATAATTTGAAACACTTGTCTCCCATTGCTCAACTACTGTGTGCTGATGAAATCATGATGTAAAAAGAAATCTTGAATCTGTTTCTATGATGATATCAGAAGGGATTTTTGCATGACTTTAGCAGTTCATATGCATAGATAATCTGTAAACTAGTGAAAGACACAAACTAAGCATTGTGGCAATCTGTACATGCACAGCATGGTTTAAATAAAATCTGAACATAAAATCAACAAAAAATGCTAACTTGACTGTATAAAAGTCCAGAAATAAAATCAAGTAATTTGGGGCCACACAATCAAAGGAGAAATATGGTTTAGATAACTCAGTGCATATTCTTGTTATGCATATTAGCAAGGCAATGTTTTACAAACCTGCAGATAAAATTGCTTGTATCCACTTGGACTTGGATGCTGTGGTTTCCCCTTCTGGGATGCCTCTCTGGAATAGATCTGGAGTCCTAGTTGGAGGGGTAATTTCAGAAGGTGGTGATGAGGAATGGTTGCTGGGTCCCATGGCCTTTGTGGTAACTCAAGGTTTGTTTCTACCCTCCATGTTATTTGACATAGATGAAACCACTGGGAAAAGTTATCTGGAGTTTCAAGGTTCAGTTTAGCTCTTGATTACATTAATGCCACAAAATATGTGTTGATACTAAACCATGTTGCAGTCAGTAATGGACTGGGTGAAAGATAACAAATTGAATCTTAATCCAGCAAGATAGGTGTTCCTGGTCAATTAAAAAGCCACATAGTGTGTAGTGATTTGATCAGTAGCAAATGAGGATATACTCCCTCTGAAATCTCTGTTTTGCAGTTTGGGTGTACTTCTGGACCCAGCCCTGAACCTAGAAACTCGATTTCATTAGGAGCTAGGAATGTGTTTACACAATTAAAATGATTGTGCCAGCTACATAATTTCTTAGCAATATCAGAACTAACTATGGGAGTACATGTCTTGGTTACATCCCATTTGGATTACTGCAACATACCCTGTATTGGAAATTGTTCAACAACTTCAGCAGGTGCTAAAACCTGGGCAGCATCCAGGCATATTTACTGGGAACATATAACTTGTTACTAAAGCTTCATTGGCTACCAGTCTTTTTCCAGGCAGAATTCCAGGCTGGTTGTGACTTATAAAACCCTATATAGTGTGGTATGTTTAGTAGAAATATGAGAAGGGCCTTCTACGTGGCTGCTCCCAGAGTCTTCAATTCCCTTCCTAGGAAGACAGAGCTGACTCCCTCCTTGCTGTTCTTTCACTGGCAGGTGAAGTTCTTTTTAATCAGGCATTTTAGAAATGCCGCACTGTTACCTTGGAAGATATATGTCATATATATTCAAAGTAGTAATGTCTCCTACCTAGGAAGTGGGAAGCCAATAGAGAAGGAGGGGGGAAGCAGTTGTACTACTAGATTACATTTTACTGTGAACAAAACATGTAATGCCTGCAATACAATTGTGGGGGGAAACGGAAGGAGGTACTGCAATTGTTTTACATGTAAAGGCTTTTTGTTTACTGTACTTTTTGTTTGTGTTTTTTTTAATGAATTGTTTAAAATATATTCTATTTATGACTGTGGTTGGCATTTGAATTAATGCCTGTTGTAAAGCCTTACTGAGTCTCCGTCCGTGCCCTCCCCCGGGGGTGTGTGAAAAGGATGGGGTACCAATATGTTAGCTAAATAAATAAATAAAATATTGTTCTCAGTGGCTTTACTTTCATACACAGATAGTATTTTAATTTTTAAACAGCTATAGCTATATTTGATTTTCTTGTACTTTCATTCATACTGAGCCTATTCTTGTGGTAAAAATTGTCTAAATGGTTAATTAATTTACCATTGGCAAGACTGTGAATTCATTCTGGATTTAGGTTTGTACTCTAAAGGAGCTATACAACCTGCTAAATTGTAACCCTCAAATAGGTTCAGTTCCTTTGATAGCCCCTTTTAAGATTTAGAATAAAATGCAGTGCATAATGACTGAGCTAATAATTAACGGTGTGTTTTTTTTTGTTGATTTGCTTCAGTCAAGCACAGAGATTAAGCATGTCATCACAAAGCCTGTTAGGGGCACTAAAAATTGATGGAGAACATGAGTGAGAGAAATAAGCATATTAATTCCAGGGCTGTTCTGGAAGAAGTTATTTATTGGACATATTTGCTGTTTCCAAGTAAAACCTCTTCGCCCTCCTATATTCTCTTTGGAGAGTGTTGTGCTGCTTTCTTCCTATTCAGAGAATTCTGTGCGAAATGATGTAGGGAGAAGAAAAGCATTCCCTCCCAAAAACAATCAAACAAACAAACAAAAACCCTCTGTAAATATTTGACACCTTGGCATGTGACAGCTAAGTGTTGGGCAGCAAATATACAGAGCAGCCAGAAAGGAAGAAGAAGAAAGAACTGTTGAGATGGCCTACAGAGTTTAACAAGCACAGTAGGCTTGGGATGTTTTTGAAGCAGGGTTTATTCTCTGCTATTATTCCTGCCCAAGTCTACCTTGAGGGCTGCCCTGAAGGCATTTATAGCAAAAGGGTTTTAGCACGCAAGGCTCAATAATGGACACTGAGTGCAGAAGTAGAACACAACCATTTCAGACCCTTCCACAGGGATGTACTTTTGAGATTTGACATAGGTTGCATCTACACCTTAGAATTAATGCATTTTGTCACCAGTTTAACTGCCATGACACAGTATTCTAGAATCATGAGAACTTTGGCAGAGAAAGGTCTTTAGCTTTCTCTATCTGAGGTTGCTGGTGCCTTACCAAACTACATCTCCTTGGATTCCATAACATTGAGCCATTGTAGTTAAAGTGATGTCAAACTGCATTAGTTCTACATTGTAGATCAGGCATGGGCAAACTTCAGCCCTTCAGCTGTTTTGGACTTCAACTCCCAGAAATCCTATCCAGTTTTCCATCTGTTAGGAATTGTGGGAGTTGAAGTCCAAAACACCTGAAAGGACAAAGTTTGCCCATGCCTGTTGTAGATGCACCCTTAGAAAGGACAACAAGAAACCTGAGTAAAAATCATGATGGACACAATCCAATAACTTTAATCCTACTTGTGATTATTATGTCTGCATAATGACCATCTGCAATGAGTTCTTGCTTTGTTTTATAGGTGGCCAAGTCGATAAAATAACTAAAAAAGTTTTGTTTCCCTCCAGTTTAGGGGTATAAGATGTCTTTTGTGATACTGCAAACCTAGATTTCTTTTGCATGGGAATAATTGTTCATGTGAGTTTTAATCTTGACATGAACCACCCAAATGATGCCATAGTAAAGTGATCAAAACTTGAGTAGTAATTTGGTCATGTAGGAAGGTTGTGAATTTAAATAAAGCGAGAGTAGGGACACGGAACCAGAATACACTTTTGGAGTGTGAGAAATATATCAGCCATTTCATGCACACAAAAGTTACTCTTAAGGTTTTTAATTATTGTTTACTTGGACTTTTGCCATCTATTGTTTCTTTGTGTAGGATTATGAATGTGGTTTAGGTTGAAAGGGTGGTATAATATGCATACTTGTTAGAAGGTATAGATCCCCATCCCTAATTACCTATATAGTAACTTGTTAAATTTTGGTTTTGGTATCCAGACAGAAGGTATTCTATAATGATCCTGAGATCAATTTATAATCTTTAGTTTTGCTTGAGCATTAGGAAAACATCACAGTGAGGATTGGTCAACTACTACTACTACTACTACTACTACTACTACTATTATTAATTCTATTATGTACACAGTAAGATTAGTAGACAGCAAACAAGATCACTATGTTGGCTTTTGTACTTGATCACACGCCGGACACTTTCCAAGTGTTGTTTTCTTCTTCTTCTTCTTCTTCTTCTTC